ATTTCCTTTTTAACTCTTGAATTTATAAACACACACACACACACACGTCATTGTCAGATTGGCCCAAAAGGGATCGGCTATGGAGCTACGGGTAGCCTACCGTTGCACCATGGAGAACATAGTTCGTAGCAACGTGAGGCTAGGTAACTCCTCTCTGCTTATCTATGCTCCCCCCTAGCAATATACGTCTGTAAGGATACCATATTTAATTTATTTATTTGGATTGCTAAATTTCGCAAGTTCCTACTTTAACTTCTCCGGCAGTTGGCTAAACTTCCATTGATTATAATATATTCTTCATTTTTTTATTGGAATCTAATAGTAAATGCTTGAAGTTTATTTTAATCTTGGTGAGCAATTATATTCAAGTTGCCAGAATTTTTTTTTCAATCTTGGATACCGAGTCATTCCGTAATGGACTTGCATTCCATCCACCATTCCATGACTTATACGACTCCACGAAGTGTCTCTTTCGAGTGATATTCGGAGGTAACCGAAGCTGAAACACTCTTCATCAGAAGGTATTGAGTAAGGACTGCCATAAGAGACACTACCCTCCCCGAGGGACAGGAGCCTGATGGACGAATAAGCAGGAGTCCTAAATAAGACATGAAGATGTACCTGCGGGGTCAATTTTATAGCTCGGTGCGGACCACCGTAATCCTCGGCCCTCGGTCACGTACTCGGATCGTAAACTCGGCCTCCCGCTCCAACTTTTCCTCTCCTGCTCCAAAATTACTTAAGATCCAACTTCCCAACTCCTTCCTCTCTGCATCCTGAACTCTTGGAGCAGAGTTGGGCAACAGTGTGTGGGGCAACAGTCAATGTAAAATACTAAAAAACTAAAACCACAAACTTAAAATATATATATAGAATAATAAAATATATATATAAAATATATAGGCCAAACTGAAAATAGTAGAAACTGCACTTGTAATATAATTTTCAATGATATAAAGTTACCCAAAGAAAAGATTCATCCATAACCTATGTGGTTACAGAGACAAGCTTTAAAGCATATTAAAACAACAAGGCTAGTATTTTTTTAAATTTATTTATGATATTTACAACTATATTAATATAAATACATCCAGTAAATGTGTACAAAGACATATAATAACATGAAAACGCTTGTTGAGAAACTTCCCACTGGTAGCACTCAATAATGCGTCTGCAAAAGGAGATCAAGCAGCAATCTTCTTTTCAGACGCCTCGGAGGATTATCAGAAATTGAAGAGGAAGTAAGGTTAGAAACAAGAGGATTCGGATGGTTATGAAGTTTATTATGGAAGGACAGGTATCTGGATTGGACCAAATCGGAAGCATATGGAACGTGAAAGTCTTGATGGATTATTTTATTTGTGACAAAGCAAGGAGCATTAAGGACTTTGTGAAGGATTTTGGATTGCAGGGATTCGATGGTTTAATGGAGCCCCATAGCTCAACTCCATAAGTCCAAACAGGTCTTATTATAGTCATGTATATGAGTCTTTTGTAATTAATTGGAAGCTTAGATCGTTTGTCTAGTAAGTGTTGGAAACGTCGAGCTGTGTTAGGATTAAATATTACTATTTATGGGTAAGTTCCCAACCTCAGTACTGAGCTCATCGTAAAACCAAGTTTAGAGACGGGTTCGACGCTATCAATGTGCGATTATAGAAAAATCGAATATTGTATGCTAGTCATATTTTTCACTTTATTTCTTCGCTTCAGATCGATGGTTTTAATAGCTTAAAACCGTCTCAAGATAGCACGCATCATTTTGCAAAAGTAAGGCCTCTAAATCAATCTAGCAGTTTCCCTATTAAGTGATTATAAATGAAAAATAGGCTGTCCTTATTTAATGAATGAAATCATCACTCATGAAATAGAAAAATTAAAAAATTGTCTCACCTTGTGAGAAATCAATCGGTGTAGATGCATGGGATTGTTTAATTACGTTGTCCACGATAACCTATTTTAAATAGTTCAGAATATGAAATAAATAGATAATAGATTTATTTTCCATCCTTATATAAGTTATGATATCCTTATAATAGTTCCTCTCGAGTTTACGATTCGATCAAAAGGTAATTCATAATTACCTTAGGTTATTCGTAATATAAATATCAAAGCTCAACAAACTAAAAATTTACACGTACTATTCAACTCCACATACATGATAATATACAGTACATATCAACAAAATGATAAATGATATGACGTAGAGATACGAGGAAGTTACTGAAAACAACTAGGTGCGAGATTGCAATCCGTGATGTACTTTCCTGTATCCAATATCCTCGTGTTATCGAATTTATGTATTCTAACTATTACTCAGTGAATGAAGTGCTCGAGTTAAAAAAACAAGATTGATAAGATATCAATCAACATTCATAGGTGGATGAATCACTCAATGGTAACCTTCCACATCGTCTTCCTTTTCCGAGTGTTGCTGAAGCTTATCGAAAATCTATTTGTCCATATGGTATGCAAGATCGATTAAACATCTCTAGTGCTTCGTAGATTATTTGTGTTAAATATTTTAGATATTTAGATTTGATAAAAGGTTCCGGATTATATGAATTGGATGCGGATTGAATTTGATAAACCTCTAGTTCAATGCAGTATGACTAAACAACGGCTATTTAGTCATGTATAGGACTTTCATGTAAAAGTTGAAGTAGTCGGTAACGGTAATATGGTAGTTATCAACATCAAATCCTACTGTAAACTTAATACTGGTATATGTAGTTTATTTCGAAGATAAATCTCATCGATTTCGATACTTTTTTTAAATAAAAAAGAAGCGTGTCTTCAATCGAATTGGCTGAAAGGAATCCTTTTTCATTTAGTGTCATAAAAGTATTCCTTTTTGACGGAACGTCAAAGTGGAGGAAAAGAACAAATATGTATACCACCCTAAGAAACTTAACTGACAACTATGCTACATATATTCCATACCTTTATACAAATATTGGTTATAGTACTCAGACAAAGACTTATTCAGACAAAAGACAAATTTCCCTATACCCTGGAGAGAAAAGGGCGGACAGCGGGGAGTGGACATAAAAGGGATTTGTCGATTTGTCGCAGCTGTAGTGGTCACTTCCTCTTGATCCTTATCACTAACATTTTATTAAAGCCCACTTCATCACTGTTCCTCTTCCTCCTCTCTTCTATGGCCCTTTTTATGGCCCACCTATCCTCCTCCTCTTTTTGCCAGATATTTCTATTTCCCAAGGGGCGTATACGATGCCTTCCATCACCGATGACGCTCTTTCTTCATGGTTATTGCCTGGGGCAATAACTACTAAACGGGATAAGTTGGCTTATTATGATATCTGGATATTATAATTGCGCAATTCACGATATGATCTAATTAAATGAAATTTGGCTCTTTTTATTCTTATCCTTGAAATATCGAAATAATTGTTTATGTTTCCCAACATACCACATAAGAATTCGATATGAGGGGCATATATAATGCAATGCCTAATGTATACAACAAAATAAGTAAGTTCATTATAATCCGCAAGTAAGGAAATTATGTCTAAAAAACCACGAGCATCGTTCTGCCTCAGTCTTTAGTGAAATTTCTGTCAACAAATACTTCTATTTAGCAGACATTTTTTTAAACCCCAAAAAATTTTAAATAATTTTATAGCATTGAGATCTTCCGCAAGCCAGATCCTCACTATAACGGGAAACAGGATCGAATTACTCATATCATCATCTATACTGAAACTCATTTTCTAAGTACATCAAGTATATTTATAATTGCATATTTGAATTATACGTATTTTAGGAATTTAGTTTTGTGGTAGAGATTACGTGTTTGATCTTTTGTCCTTAGTTCTCCGACAGAACTTATTGTAAAAAACTTAGTAATCGCGAATTCTAAGTTTAATTCAGATTTCTAAAAACATATAGGCGTGAGATATTTTAAAGAAAAAGAGTTTTTCTTAAATTTATGACCAAGTAACATTCCTCTATCTGAAGTCGCACAGAGAAAAATGCGCGAGCCAAGTACAACTACATTTTTAAACGCTCGTCTTCATCATGGTTTGAATAATAGTAAACGTGGCTTAAAGCAATTGATTTTTATGCCTTGATTATTGGAATTGATTTTGAAAAATTTATATTGTAGCATTAACCTCAATTTTTTTTTTTATTTATTATTTCTTAATGATATTTACAACTGTATTAAATAAATACATTAAGTAAATTTGAACATATGGATATAATGACATGAAAATACTTGCTGAGTAACTACCCAATGGTAGCACTCTAATGATATGTTTACATTAGGAGATCACGGGGCCATCTTCTTTTCAGACGCCTCGGAGGGTTATCAGGAATTGAAGAGGAAGCAAGGTTAGAAACGAGAGGGTTGGGATGATTCTGATGTTTATTATGGAAGGATAGGTATTTGGATTGGGCCAGATCTGAAACAAAAGAAACATTAACGTCATTATGGATGGTTTTATTTGTAACAAAGTAGGGAGCATTGAGGATTTTACGAAGGAATTTGGATTGTAAGGATTGGATACGAGAGGAATTCGATGGTTTAGGGGAGCCCGATAGCTCAACTCCGTAAGTCCAAATAGGCCTTATTATAGTCATGTATATGAGTCTTTTGTAATTAATTGGTAGTTTAGAGCATTTGTCTAGTAAGTGCTGAAGTAATCAGAAATGTTTTTCTGTGCGGTTTCTTTTCGTTTCAGTCTAGTATGATAACCCCAAATTAAAAATGTCATTAACCAACAAGAGAAATATTAAACCTATATTCCTATATTCCAACAAAGAAATAATTTATTTTTCTCCTCTACCTCGTCTTTTTCAGCTATACCAGGTTTTTACCAGGTCAGGGTGGAGGGCGGGTGTTTTGCAACGCCATAGCCCGCTCGGCCACACCGCCATCAACATGAAATAAACTTGCATATTTATACTTTATTGTACCAATGATATCTTTATTATGAGTGATAGGCATGTCTAACAGAAATATATTTTCTTTACAGCATCCTCGAGCTGCGGAAAGAGAAGTCTCGGGACGCGGCTCGATCGCGAAGAGGGAAGGAGAACTACGAGTTCTACGAGCTGGCGAAGATGCTGCCCCTCCCCGCGGCGATCACCTCCCAGCTGGACAAGGCCTCCATCATCAGGCTTACCATCTCCTACCTCAAGCTGAGGGACTTCTCCGGCCACGGCGACCCGCCCTGGTCGAGGGACAAGCCTGCCTTCTCCAAGTCCATAAACAGTGAGTACAATGTCCATTTATCCAAATCCTAGGATAAGCGAAAGAAAGTTTTGTAAAAATAAATGTCATCAGAACAGCAAGCTATTACAACAGAATGGAATATTTTAGAAATCGCATATCCATCTAAATCCAATTACATCTAAAAAAAGAAAAAAAAAGACATAAATATCTGCGACCCGGAGGTAAAGAATACATTTTTTTATTAAATAATTTAGTAACTTAGAAACAAATTTTAATAGCTCAAAGTTTTGAGAAATTGGCTCCCTTGAACAAATAAATGGAGATGGCATTCTTTACCTCCAAGGTACTGATATGAGTAATCATAATTACCTCGTTCAGATAAGAAAGTAAAGTTTAAATTTAATTTTTCTTTATTTTAAATAAAAACAACAACAATTGAATGATACTTAGTACTCCAAAAACAAATATAATCCTTATACAATAATTATGTTTAATGGTGGGAAGCCATTTTGATAAATAACAAATAAATAGTGTTGCCCAAAATTGGTCATGGTCTTGCACTTTGCGAGACCAAGACCAAGACCGCCTAGCTGTTGCAAGACCAAGACAAAGACTGGTAATGAAAAATTGATTTTTGAATAAAGATTAAGGCAAAATAGTTACTAATACTTGACAATTTTCGTTACTATATAGCTATTAGTTCCTATTTAGCATTTAACTCTTCCAATTTTCCGTTTGAGCTTAATTAGGTTTCTTCTATGTAAACAAATACTGTAATATATCTACAGTAATAAGCTAATAGGTAACTGCAAGACTGGTGCGAGACTCTAGCGCAAGATCAAGACTGAGTGCGCAAGACCAAGACTTGCCTTGGTCTCGCGTTCGGACAACACTACAGATAAACAAACGAATCTTTCAAAGTATATCAATTAATAAAATTCGTATAAATAGCCTTATATTAATAATAATAATGTATACAAATAAGAATATTATAACAAAGAGGAGACAACCCAAAACTCTGAACTCCTTAGAAAATTAGTTTTACGTATGCTGCTCTAATATACTATAAAATTTTCAATGGAGGAATTCAATAATTACTTTGTGTACTTATGAATGAAAATGGGAACCTCCAAGTCTGCTGTATGTGAATTGAATCATTTCTAAAACAAAATTAGTTCAATTTCAAATTATTTTAATAGTCAATTAACATTTTAAACTCGTACATTTTACAGCATCCTTTATTAAAAATGACAAAATAAATCGCAATTAACGTTATTTACTTCAATATTCATATTTCAATTTTAGACGCGAAATTTATATTGAAATAAAAAATAATTTAAGAAAACGCCTGATTTTTAACAATTCATACAACGAAAATATAACTTTTTTAATGAACCCAAAGAATAATAGCAAAATTGATGTATTTGCTAAGTAAGTGTATTTAAAAGTTTACATACTTATACCAAAAATTAAAAAAAAATATAATATGAGGTCCACAAAAATAGAATACCTATTCCTTATTCCAAAATAATATTCTGATTTATCAGTTTAAAGGAAAGCCATTTAATTAAATATAAATTAAAACATTTATAATGTTTGTAAAATAATAATAGCAAGAAGATATAGACGCTAGTGGATCCAGGATTTAATTTTGGGGGGAGGGGCTTCAGCCCGGAAACTTTTTTTTCATATATATAACGATAATTAATTTGGAAAAACAGAGATACTAACTACCTATATGAAATGGTGTTTAAGTGATTCTTGAAGTCCTATTAAATGTAATTAATCGAGCAGTAATACTATAAGAAATAATTTTTTAATATTTTTTACCATAAAACATGGTTACATTTTACCATTTTGGGGAGGAGGGGCTTCAGCCCGAAAGCCCCCCCCCATTCCTGTAGATCCGGAGAGAGTTGTAAGTTACAGAAAAAGGTATAGGGAAATCCAGAAAAAAACGTAGATAGAAATCGCATATTATAATAACCATACTTCTAAGAACTGAAGAAGGGAGTTCATGGAATAGGGAGAATTCCATCAGCGGAACCCCTAAAGAAATTCTTCAAAGGTTTCTGGAAATGTATCGGTTCTGTATAAATAGCGAAACAAGTAGCAACGAAAAAGCTCTTGAAAATTGAAGTCATCTCTTCAATGAAAGCGGACCAAAAACGATTTTTTTTTTCTTTTGATAAAAAAAATTAATACAGGTTTACCTCGTAAATAAATTTAACATGAAATCACTCCATTATAATTATGGTACTTTTCTATGTTTTTAAAAAATAAATTTGATGTTACAGAAAAAAAAACCGTAAATTAACCCGTAAGAAACAGGCCGCTTGCTCCGCATTACGAACTCCTATACGGTTATAATCCTAAATTACCTTAAAATTGCCAATTTCATGGGATTTCAGGCTCGGGTCGTAGTAAATGTCAGTGTTCAATGTTAATGTGCCTAGGAGCAAAACCAGGAACCTTTTGTGAGGCGGTATTGCACCAGCTAATAAATATCTTTTGTTCGCAAACAAACGAAAGAAATTACTTTTTTTTCGGCGATAATCGGCAATTCGAATACATAAAAAGTAAATTTATAAATATATAAAGTTAAATCTTCAGGGAAATTAATAACAACTTTCTTCGAAGCATTGTAAGATATCGATATTTTGAACATTATAGTTTTTCATACTTGTATTTATTTTGTTAAATTCCATAGTGTTTCTTAATTATTGCATAATAAAAATAATTTTAAAAAAATTATATTTGATTCATCAGTCTCACTTTATTTTTCATTGAAGTACGTTTCAATTCTTTAGCACATTTTCAAATGTAAAAAATTCTTATTATATAATTAATAATATTTGAGATAATTTGTCTATATCACATTTTTTACACAATACCATTTTTAGAAATAGTTTTCCCTTGAGAATGGCCTCAATGGCTTAAACTTGGGGAAATGAAAAATATAATAATACCGATGGAGAAAATATATATAAGTCAGTTATCAGAAATAAAATAAGTGATAATCAACTATATTACAACTTAATATCATTAAGTGAAGATTTTACCTATGATTATAAAATATATTTATTTTTTTATTTCACATCTGGCTGACAATAATAACAAGAATTATTTTTTAAAAATATCATGGTATAACTAAATGTCTAAAAAATCCTCTCGTTTTATCCCTTACGTTAACTAAACTACTATTGTTTGTAATTCTAAAATGTTTTATAGCAATGCAATGTTTTTTTAAAATTTATTTTATCTAAATTTAGATCATTAACTATCTATAAAATATATTTTCTAAAAGAAACAATTTTAATGATTAATTATTTCCATATTCCATCGCACTGAATACGTACAATAAAAAGGAACATACATAACGATTCTTAAATCATCATCTAACTATTAATATAGGCAGCTGGTTAACAGCCTAGGATTAGTAATTCTATATTGCAGGATCGAATCCCGCCTCCGTTTCTTAATTACATTTCCCCCGCTGGAATTAATACAATATCCCTATAATAAGGGGATGAAACGTTAAATATTTTTATATAACGATTTAAATGATGAATAATTATCAATAATTCAAATAATATAGCATCACTAAAAACCATAAAATAAATTTACATTAACATTTTTTAAAATTAATTATTTGGATTATAACTATATATTATTATTCTTTATTTAAACAGACATTGAAATACATTAGTTAAAATACCTTCTCGGGGGTTTGGATATATACGTATTGTTATGCGGAAGTGGTTGTCTATTTCCTTTAGATAAAAATTGCAAAGTGATAATAATATACAATCTTATCATTATCAGTTATTTTTAAATTCATAAAGTTCACTTAACCATTAAGATTGTCGGATGGAGAGGGGGAAGATAAGTATGGTTCACACATCTATGCCGACATAATTTACACTGAAAGGATATATTTTTTTTATTTTTGTTTTATGATATTTACAACTGTATTAGTATAAATACATCAAGTAAATGTGTACAGAGGAATATAATCACACGAAAACGCTTGTTGAGAAACTATCCATTGGTAGTACTCTAATAATATGTCTACATGAGGAGACCACGAGGCCATCTTCTTTTCAGACGCTGGAAGGATAAGGATCTGGATTGGACCAAATCGGAAACATATGCAGCATTAAGGTCTTTATGGATTATTTATTTGTGACAAAGTAAGGAGCATTAGGGATTTTACGAAGGATTTTGGATTGTAAGGATTGGATATGAGAAGAATATGATGGTTTTGTGGAGCCCCATAGCACAACCCCCCAAGTACAAATAGGCCTTATTGTAATCATGTATATGAGTCTTTTGTAATTAATTGGAAGTTTGGAGCGTTTGTTCAAAAGTGTTGGAGTAAGCGGAACGTCGAGCTGTTTCTTGTCGTTTCAGTCTTGTATGAGGATTCCAAGTGAGACGTTTGTACAGGTGGAGTCCTAGGTATCGGATTTGTTCTACAGGGATAAGTGTGGTGTTATTAAAGGCTACTGTAGGACAGGACGTCATAGGTTTACGAAGAAGGGTGATTTGATGGGATTTATTAGAATTTATTTTAATTGTGGGCGGGGTGGCCGAATGGGCTAAAGCGTGTGCATTGCACCGCCGTTGCCCGGCTACCAGATATATGAATCAAAGATATAAAAATATTCACGAGTTCGCGTCCCGGTGCCGGGGGAGTCTTTTTAAATCCCCGCCCACACTCCCTAAAATCCCGTATAGCCTTAACGGCGAGGAAGGGAAGGACCCAAAAAAAAAAAATTTATTTTAATCCTCCAGTTACGACACCATTATTCAAGATTTGTGATGTGTGATTGAAGATTTTGGAATGCAATTGATGGATCGAAAGGATAATAAATTGATATGTATAGTATGCCCGGCATGAAAAAATAAATATAAATATTTTAAAATTATTATTTGTTTTAAATTTTGTATCGCTATACATCAAAATGGTTATATTGGCAATGGAATCTTCAATGAAATTTTAACATTTACTAAAACCAATTTATTATTTTGTATTT